ATATATATATATATATATATATATATATATATATATATGTATGTATGTATATCGTGTGTGTTTCTATCTGGCCTGTAGATTTTGATGAGCGATTTTTTTTCCTTTCAAAATGAACAATTTTTATGATTTCTCCATCTATTCAGATTATATCCTCTGAGGTGAGGTTGTTCAGTGTTGATGTATGGATGTATGTATTCCTGTGTAAGTATGTGTGTGTGTTTTTCTTTTGATTAACGAGGTTTGTTCTTTTTGAAAATGAATGGATTTTTAGGATTCTATGGCCGCAGAGGATCCGATGGTCGATTTCTCAGATTCCTCAGTTGATTCGGATTCCTCCGAGGTAAACTCTACTGCAATTGTTCAATTCTCATGTAAAAATTGGGTTGAAAAAGGCTGTTGATGTATGTGTGCGTGTGTGTTTGTGTATGTATAATGTTTGTGATGTGTACGTGTATGTGTGTGTATGTATAATGTTGTTTGTGGCTTTTGATTTAGCCAAGATTTTGTAAAATAAATAGTTTTTGCAGGTTACTAATAAGAGAAAATATGTCGAGGATGAAGATGAGGAGGATTTTGTCCCCTTCCACTTCCAACCTCTGAACCCCCATGCCTTTAATGTATTTTATGAGGTACAATTTCTCTGTTTTTCTGTTTATTTGTTTTTAAACAAATAGTGTAGAGAAGGTGTGTTGTAATTTATCTCCATTAAGTACAATCTTTTATATGTATGTTTATCTTCCAAGATGAGGTTTCTTGTTACTAAAATCTTCCTATGTATTTTTTGTTAAGACACCCGGCATGGATGTATTGTCTGCTAAAATATTCAAAAGTCTCCCAGAGCTTAAGGAGATGGTGTTGGAGATCCGAGAACGTCTCAACGGTGTTTTAAATGGTGATGTGGACGTGCAGTCTTTCGAAGCAAAAGTAAAAGAACTTTTCAGCAGACCGAATTTTTTAGAGGCGGTTGATGAGTCTCTCCTGGAGGTGTATTATAGTGTCATTTAGTGAGCAGAAAACTACCTCTTTCTAGAAGGAGTTGTCATTATATCTTTCTTTTTTATTTTTCACAGAGTCATCATTATTTGGTTGTGCCTTTAGAAGAATATATCACAACAAAAGACGCCCAAGATCGAATGCTTGATGTTAAGCAGGATCCATCTTTCAAGCCATTTTTAGGATGGACGGAACCCCTTGATGTTATAAGGTAAGATGCCTAGTTTGTGCATTCAATGTTCTGCGTATAGCACAGAGCCCAAGTATCTAATTTAAGTATCTAATTTTATGGACGGTTTGAAGGGGAACGTTGTGCATCCTGTTCGGGTACTGGAATGATAAAGAGTTCGATCGTATATTGACTGAGACAAGAGACAAATCTTGTAGACTTAGACTGGCTGCCAAAGAGCGTAATTGGACTCGGATTGATATGATTAGTGATATTCATTACCCAGCTAATCTTAATGTAAGAGTATATATAATTTGTTGTCTCATTTAGTAATTTCCCTGCCGCTAATCTTTATGTAGGATCATTTTGTTATGATTTTTCAATTGGAACTAGTCAAGAAATCTTTGGAATAATGTTATTTTTAAATATACAGGGCCTGAAACAAGCTCTGGCTGACAAATACGGTGAAGAGTCATATTTTTATAAGACTGCTGTTAAAACGGTATATGATTTGACGAATCAGCTCATTTCATCTTTGGCATGTTATAAGTAGTCTTGTGTCCAGGTTTTACTTTTTTCATGCACGAAACATTTTTGTTTTTATGCTGCAGATTGAGGGAAACAAAGCGTATTTTGAGAAGAGGGTGACACCATCCATTCACTTGTTAGGCCCTGATGCAAAGGGCCATGAGATTGTCTTCATGCTAGTGAAGTGGTGTGCTGATGACATCTTTTATTTGTGTGATACTTGTATCAAAGTGATCTTTTAGTTCATAGTATGCTAACTTGATGGCTGTAAATATTCTACAATTGATTGGTCCTATTTTATATTTTTGTGCTTGTTGTTCTCCCGATCTGATACTGAATATGAATTTTGTGCCCACACTTGGAAGAGCAATTTTAATGTTTTACGTTATGGCGATACATGCAGATTGTGGCTTTTGCATCTCTAGACCACTTTTTGCTTTATTATGTGCATATGTAAGTGAACAAAATTTCAATTTTTGCTTTATTATGTGCATTATGCAAGTGACAACAAAATTTAAATATTGTTGGCTTTTGCATCTCATCATCACTTTTTGCTTTATTATGATAGCACTATTTAAGTGCACCAAAATATCTAACTAGTACGAATCTCGTGCGATGAGGGGTAAGAATTATTATTTAATATTTATAAATTAAAAATGCTTATATATGTCTATTTAAAAATACTCTTTAATATTCTTCAATATGTAATACAATTTACCTATATTAATTTGTTGAAAATGTTATATAAAATATAAATTGTGCAAAATTATATTAAATATGTCTATTTAAAATTAGTACACGGTCGTACGGTGCAAATAACTAATAATAAATTACATTATATTCATTTCGAAATAGGTGTCATTTTAAAATTTTTATTCAAAAATTCGATTTTACTATAATGTGATTCAAATAATATATATATATATAGGATGAGGTTCAAATGAGAACCCATCTCTAGTGTGAGAACTAAGAACTCATCTTAGCCATTGATTACATAATTATCAATGCTCTGGATTATTTAATATATTCTTGAGAAATTACTATGATTAATTATGTATGTCTATTATTGTAAAAACCATTGTTGTTAATTATGTTAATTGCAGATTTTAGGGAAATGAATTGGGTCTTTTTTCAAATGGTAAGGATTATTCAATTTCCGTTTTTTACTTCAATCATCCTCTTTAGTTGAGTTACTGTTTGTTTTACACTTTATTTACACGAAAAGATCATACAGTAGGAGCAAGGTTGAACAAATAAACATTTCTTATATTACACAAGAAAGTATAAAATTTAAAGACAATCATCCTGTATCTGTTCAAGAATGGAATCAACATGTAAGTTCTATAATTTCTATTATCTTTGTTATTCGTGATACATATTTTTTTAAAAGAAAATCACTACATATTTCTATTACCTTTTTTCTTTATCTGTTCGTGATATATAAAAGAAAATCACTACATATTTTTTTACCTTTTTTTTTCTTCATGTAAGAATACGTGTGTTTGTGAAATTCGTGTTTATCCCTTTGTGTGACTCGAGTTGAGCACTCTCTTACATATTTTGTTACATTTTTCTGTAATGTCTGTACGTTATAAAAGAAAATCACTACCGATGTGCACTGTGTCAAATTGTTTCGCAAATTTTCATTTATTTTCATTTATCTACGTATGATCAGATTGTTTCACAAATTTTCATGGGCACTGTGTCAAAAATTAAATTAATATAATACTGGAAATTTCTCGTGTCTCAAATGCAGGCGAAATTGGAAGTGGTGATGTTCGAGTTGAAATATCCACCGATATGCCTCCACGTTTCGTACCAAATTGCAAACCCGAATTGAAGCCGTTTATCGGGCAACATTTTAGCAGCTTGGATGATGCTTATGAATTTTATAGGCAATACGCATCTGAGTGTGGATTTGATATTCGGCGTTCAACTAAGAAAAAGTCGTCGGACGGTTTCTTAATCAGAAGCTATATTTTATGCTCCAGGGAGGGTCAAAAGAATTATTCACGTGAACATACAGATGGAGATAGTGAGAGTATTAAGAAACGAAGAACAGTTTCGAAACGTATTAACTGTGAAGCTAAATTGATTCTGAAGTTTGCTGGCCAAAATGGGTACGTTGTTGATAAATTTGTTGAGTATCATTCTCATCCTTTAGCTTCCCAAATTCATAAACATCTTATGCGAGTGAGCAGAAATATGGATGTCGGTCACCAAAACTTTGTCTTGAATTGCGCCAGAGCATATATTGGACCAATGCAATCGTACAAGTTATTTAAAGAAGTCGTGGGTGGATACTCAATTGTTGGATGTACTAGCATGGATTTTAAAAATTTTGCAAGAGACTTGAAAGCTTATGCGATAGGGGTTGATGCCCAGATGGTTTTAGGAAAATTTTTTAGGAAGCGAGAACTCTGTTCGGCCTTTTTTTTTAATATGATGTTGACAAAGAAGATAAATTGACGCGACTATTTTGGGCTGATCCAATTTCAAGAAAGAATTATGCCTCTTTCGGTGACGTTATTTCATTTGACGCTGCATACTCAACTAACAGGTACTTGTTTATGCTATGTTATCTTTTTCTATTGATTGGCCATAAACATAGACATACAATTTAAGGTTAGGCTTATTACCCTGAAGACATTTTTTTTTAATAATCTGTGTAGTTGTTTTTCCTAGCATGTGTGCTACTTTATACAACGTATGGTGCTACTTTTAATAAATTGTGATGCTATTTCGTTGATTGACAGACTATTAATAAATTGTGTTTATGTTTTTCATTCAGGCTATTATACATTCTAGTAGTTTATTCCCTTGCATTTTTTAGCTATTTTCTTAATAAGAATGTTTGTTTTCATAGGTACAATATGATATTTGCGCCTTTCACTGGAAAGGATAATCATGGAAAATGTGTCACCCTTGGTGCTGGATTGCTGTCAAAAGAAGACGTTGAATTGTATTCTTGGTTGTTAGAGAAATTCAAGGAGGCAATGGGAAGCGCTCCTCGCATTATTGTGACGGATCAAGATCCAGCACTTAAAATTGCTGTTGAACGATCATTTCCAGTATCTAAGCACCGACTTTGTATGTGGCATATTATGTTGAAAGTTTCAGATAAGGTACCGTCTCATTTAAAAAAAGATGGCGAATTTAGGAAGAAACTAGATAATTTGGTTTGGTCGGAGAAAGATGAACCAACAGATTTTGAGGGCGGCTGGATTGCATTGATGGATGAGTATGATCTGAAAGATAATGCTTGGTTTAAATCAATGTTTGACATGCGACATTTTTGGACCTCTGCTTTTTTCAGAGACTTTTCAATGAGTGGATTATTCAGAACAACCTCTATGTCTGAAAGTGAGAATAGCTTCTTTGGAAAGTATTCAAACCCATATGCTAATTTGCTTGAGTTTTTTATGCATTTTGATAGTGCATTGGATGCCCAGAGGCATGCCCAGGATCAGCTGAACATGGGAAATGAGTCTTATACACCTCAGTTCAAGACACCTTTATTGATTGAAAGGCATGCTGCTGATGTATACACATCAAAAATATTTGGGCAGGTACAAAATGATATTGTTGCTGCTTGTTTTGATTGTCGAGTATGCAGTGTTGTAGTTGGCAGGAAAAACTCGGTCTACGAGATTGATGATGGTCTCACTGGAATTTCTAAAGTTGTTTATGAGAGAAATGAGAACACAACGACATGTACTTGCAAGAAATTTACGAGGATTGGTAGATTATGCAGCCACATATTTTTTGTGTTCAATGATTTGAAGCTTGAAAGCATTCCTAAAAATATATAGTTAGTCGCTGGACAAAGCATGCATCGCTGAAACCCATATTCGTCATGGATGGTGAGGTAATTGACCAATGTGTTGCCATCGAGGATCGTAAATCCATCACTAACCAGATTTTTTCAGAATTTTACTCATGTATTGGTATGGTTGAAGGTAATATAGAGTTAATGAACGGGTTCCTAACTTGCCTAAAAGATCAGAAAGAGATGATTGTGTCAGTTCAAGGAAAGTAATCAGATCCTGGCATGAAAAAATGTTTATTTGAGAAGTATTATGGAGCTCCATTGCCAAGCGAAGTTGAAGTGCTACCCCCAGCCCCAGTGAAAAATAAAGGTAGTGGAAGTAGATTGAAATCTAGGAAGGAAAAGGCTATCGAACGAAGCAAAAAGCCATTGCGTATGTGTAGTAAGTGTAAGCAGAAAAGTAGCCATGATGCTAGAAATTGTGATAAATTTTCCAGTTGATCCATGAGACAATATGTATTATTTTTTTTTAAGAATATATTTTGCATTGTGTTTCTTCCTTAATGGTTTTGGTTTGCACTATCTGTGGATTTTTCTTTTCCTAATAGTTGAGTTTCTCGGTGTTGATATAAGTAATGTCACAAACTCATTCTGTGTTAAATTAGCATCATGAAATGAAATCACTAGCAATAAAATGTATGGTTCATACCATCGTTTAAATTATAAGATTGGTTAAGATTGTCATGTAGCATAAAATTTCGCCTTATTGGAGGTAGATTCTTTTTCTATGAAGAAAAAGAAAGTTGTGGACGAATCTACTTTCTATCCGAAAACACCAGTTCTACTTTTCTCGGTTAGGAACATTATTTCTTGAGGTGTATCTTCATTGTTAGTTGTTGTCGATTACAGAAAATTTTATTGGAATAGGCAATTAGGCATCAACGTACCTCCTATTGGTATAATAGCCAGAGGGATAGAAGCTGCACTAGCTTAAAAAATTTATTATTGTGACATAAAATTTAAGAAAAGTAGCATTTTTTCTTGTTTAGCATTATATTTTCGATGTCTTGAAAAGGGCATTTTTTTTCTAATTTTTTGTGGTATGCCTGTGCATTGTGGAAATTTTGTAAATTAGTTTGTGGGTGTCACGATCAAAGTAAAACATGCGGATTTCGATGTTGTTAATGACTTTTTATGTCATTATATGTTTAACATGCTCTGATCTGCTTGTGTATAAGTTTAGTTTCTGTATAAACATTATCAACAAGGTAGAAGGAATTTTAGATGTTTTTACAATCATATATATGCTGGTGCGTGAGTGCTGAGGAATAACAGCAGCTGATTGCCTGAAGAACTAAATCAATAATTGCATTTGTCGTGAAGCTCAACCACTTTGTCTTTTAATGCGTGATCTCTGAGCGAGGAAACTTTATATTTTTGCCGAGCTGAGAACAAACAACAACACTACTCCTGGTTACGTTTTGATTTCCTTTCAATTGGGGCTTATATAATTAGAGCAAACGTTTACCATCTATTTCACTATAACTACTTTTTCAATATTTGTTTCTAGTTTTCTTTTTGTTTCGTCCTCATCATTTCTTTCTTTGATATTTTCATGAGGCTGAAGATTGGGCAGGGGTTCTTACAGAATCTGTTTGATAAACTTGAGAGAGAAATTATGGGTGAAACAGGCTATTTATGAGGGAACCATGTTCTATTTTCGGTATTTAATAGTTTAAATTAAAAAAAAAAGTTTGACACGGTGCCTCTGTACATACTGCCCTTTTAATGTCTTTGCTGAGCTGGCATTTTATGTAGCTTTTCACTGTCTATGCAGTATCCTAATATGATATGTTTTCACTTCTTGTGTGATAGCATTTCATCGTTGTAGATTGGCCAAGGAACTTACAATAGCATTTCATTTTATTCGATGTCTTGAAAAGGGCATTTTTTTTCTAATTTTTTGTCGTATGCCTGTGCATTAGTTTTTTTTTTCCCTTAGGTGCAATTTTTGCCCTGTTTCTGGTTGTACATTATTTTTGTTGTTCATTGCATATTCTAATCTTGCATTCTGTGCATGAAGACCATCTATATTATATACATTTTCTGTTTTTTGTTTAATTAATAGTATGTGTATAATAGATTAGTTTATGCAAAGTATTTTGTGGGACAAAAGATTGATGGAAGTCTTATTAATCCTTTTTTGTGCTACAGCTGATGTATGGAGTTAATGGTGTGTTTATCATTTATCAAATCAATTTCACTAACATATTATTTTGTCATATTAGCATTATTAAATGCAATTATTTACAATGAAATGAATGATTGATAGCATCATTTACATTATGAGTTTAGTTAAGATTGTCATGTAGATTCAAATATAGCATTTTATTGGAAAATGTCCAATAATTATAATTTGTTATTAAATACCTGCTATCTTTTGCTTATGATACAATTTCCATTTGTATAAACAAAGTCATTCAAAAAAAAAACCATGAAATAACATGTATTCAAAGTAAAATAATAATATACTCCCATCAATTCAAACTCCCATCAATCTATGCAACTAATGTACTCAATGCAAAATAGTGTAAACAAAACAATTGTTCAAAACAACTTGCAGTAGATACCATAAGAAGACTAATAAGGTCACTGTTCATTATGTGCCTGACCGATCCACAACTTCTCAACATCTATTGAAACCCTAGATTTTGAGATTCTATAGTGCAAATCTGCCGCATACAAGTTGTGTTCCTTATGAATGTTGATATCAGCTGACAATATCGTAGCGCAGTACTTCACTCTTAAGTACTTCAGTTGGTTTGCACTATTCTTTCTCAACCCAACTTTCCAGTTCTTGACGCTATCTCCCATGTAGGTCTCCATGTGGCACATGACGTAAACTCCGCAATCAATTTTATTATTATCTAACGCCCAAGGGAGTTGCAATCTTTCAATTTTTGCTTTTTTTAGGGCAACAGATTTGCTCATTAGCCCCTTCAAATCCAAATATTCACAGACCATCATAACCTGTAATTGAAATTATTTAATTTTCAAATTATAAGTGGGAAACTAATAAATAAGTACAAAAAGTTACAAAGTCTAATCACATATTTTTGTTTACCAGTGTACTTGGTATATCAGAGTATTTGACCTCAATAGCACCATTCGTTGTAGAAGTTGAGTTGTCAATCAGCACAATGTTCAATTTCTTCACATTTAGACACATAATGTAGCAATGCTCTTCTTGGTGTATCGGAAAAAAAAGCTGCATTTTATTCACAAATATATTGTCAAATTTTTACCTTATTGTGATAGTAGATTGAAATGAGTTGAGTCCATACTATGTCAATGTTCTCAAGTTGCTGGTCTGCTCTTTGTAGTTGTTCTGTCATACTGTCATAAAACATGATATGTCTCACTCCGATGCTCCAGTCCTTTGCTGGGTTCACGATAGTGAAAGCCTATCAATAGATTTGATAATTTTTTTAATAGATAGTTACTCAATGATTGCACTGCTAACATATCAGCTTTAAGTAAAAATTAACATAAAAACTTACACAAGTATCGACTGTAAAAAAGAATCTTAGTGGCGAGCTATGTGACCTTAACAACTCCAGGTTATTCAAAACAGTTGCCCAGACATCTACAACAGTAGTGCTCACAAATAGTGATGGTCTAATTGATAATAAGTCTCGTCTCAAACACTCAACGTGACCACTTGAAAATACTGCTTCATCCCTGAAATAAAAAATGTTGAATGGTTAATGATTAATCACATATTTCTGTAATTATCAAGTTTCAGAGTATACATTTTATCCACGTCGTCCAAAATCCAGAAGCATAAATCTCTCTCTTTTTTGTTGAACTTAGATGTGGCTGCTAGCACGCGGGTATGGTAGGGTGATAACAGCCTCTCGCTTTTTCTTACATCTTTTTTATTTCGGCGCTCCATACAGTGGTTGGTTGGAGGTAACATTTCCTGAGATCAAATTTACAATTTCAATTAAATTTTTGGAATGCTTCAAACAATCATTAAGCATAGGTGGAAGAAACTAATAGCGCTGTTTTTTTCAGTGTACAATGCTAATTATATATGCATTTAGTGTCTTTTTTTCATATCTATTATGCCAGGACAATAAAATTAAAAATAAAAAAATATCATCTTAAATACCTGTTTTTCCTTTCCTTTGAGTTTTTGTTGCTCAATCGTATCACGAAAAGTTAATCCCTTCATTTCTTTGACATTATCTGGCTCACTAGTACTAGTAGGTGGACTGCATATCAATTTCCATTCCCCTTTGCTATTGTGACAACCCCGCATAAATGAATGATTCTCGTGTTCAGGATGCACGATCATAGAAATCTATAAATTTATTTTCATGCACCGAGAAAATTATTAGAATAATACTCATAAAAACTTTGAGGATAACTACCTGCTTTATCTGTCTCTTATTTGTTTGATCTATGGGACTGCACTGTTAGAAAAACTTGTTCTGAGAACATTACAATAGGGCTATCACTATTATCATTTTCCCACACAACCTTAGCCACAAATATTGCACAATTAACAATAAATACTTGCAACGAAATATGTACAACAATAGACAAAATATACCACAACTATCAACAAATATTAGAAACAAGACTATGTACAAACAAAGATAACACCATGTGATGTTAACATTAACACTATACGCAAGTAAGATAGCATCAATGGCTGCTCGTGATCTATTAAACTTCGCCCTTCTCATTTCATATACCAGGACAATATAGATATAAAATTTGTGATTAAAAAATTTCATCTCGGTTACCTGTTGTTCCTTTCCTTTGGATGTTTGTTGGCTAGGCGTTTCAAGAAATGTTACTTTCTTTTTTTGCTTGCCATTATCTATCGCATGCTCACTTGTACCAAAAGGTGGACTGCTATCACTATTATCATTTTCCCGCACATCCTTAGCCACAAATATAGCAAAATTAATAATATATACTTGCAACGAAATATGTATAGTATTAGACAAAATATAGCACAACTATCAACAAATATTAGAAACAAGACTATGCAAAGACCAAGATAGCACTATGTGATGTTAAAATTAACACTATATGCAAGTAAGATAGCATCAATGTTTCCTTGTGATCTATTAAACTTCGCCCTTCTCATTTCATATACCAGGACCAAATAGATATAAAATTAGTGATTAAAAAGTTTCATCTCGGTTACCTGTTGTTCATTTCCTTTGGATGTTTGTTGGTAAAACTTTTCAAGAAATGTTACTTTCTTCTTTTGTTTGCCACTACCGGTCGCAGGCTCAGTAGTACCAAAAGGTGGACTGCATATCAATTTCCATTTCTCGTGTTCAAGCTGCACGAAATTAGACATTTAAAATTATTTGCATGCACCAAGACAATTATTAGAATAATACTCATAAAAGTATAAATAATAATAACCTGTTCCCTCTTTCTCTTATTTCTTTGATTTATGGACTGACCATTTGGTAGGAATATTTCTTCTGAAAACACTACTATAGGGCTATCACTCTTATCAGTTTCCTGCACATCCTGAGACAAAAATATAGCACAATTAACTTTGTACAACATTAAAAAAATTATAGCACAACTATTAATAAATATTAGCAACAAGACTTTACAGCCTAAGCCACAAATATCTCATAATTATCAATAAATACTAGCACTTAACACCTTTCGTACTTGCCATAATATTGATTATCACTCGTATGCATCCACCAATACTTTACTTATTATAACTAACATGTTGTGCTATATCTAACAAATTAACCAAATCATGCTGACAATTTTAACAAAATATGATTCAACATCCCACAAAAGTTGATGTTTTTTGCCAACACAATATTTTATATATATAATGATGTTGCTTAGAAACAATTCAGGTACAGATAGCATAATAAACTTAAAAGATGCATAATACATAACATTTAATAGCGCCATAAATATATTGCAGAATACTTAAATTGGTGTCCATTTACCTCATAGATATGCTAGCATGAATTATGATCAAAATTATAAATTGAAAATATTATTCATAGTACATGTTGATCTTTACCATGTTTTTCTGATCTGCAATCGTGCCTTTTGGTGTTTGGTGGAATCAATGTGGATGGCTGATCATTTTTTGTGACAACCTCATCGATCTTATCAGCAAATTCTTGAGTCAAGCCCAGGCTGAAACTTGGTATGTCATCCGCAGATTTATTGAATTCACCTCTTTTCATGATTGCATTCTCTATTTCTTCAATTATGGCTAATGTTTCTGGGTCGCTCCAGAATGCATCATCTAACTGTGTGCCTTGGTTCTGCGATAAAGATGGTTCCGCACCATTATGCAAGTTATTTTCAGTTGGTCTGCAACCCAGCAATGATTCTGTTGTGTCAACCACCCTCTTATAGTCAGAGTGTTCACTCAGTTTATGAGGTGCCTGCTCGACCAACCTCAACATGTCAACTATTGCAACGGCAACCATCTTGCTTTTTCTTAAAAATTCCGACATAAATGTTTCAGCTGCATATGAATTGGTATTGCCATCAAGCTGGGTATTTGGAGCTTCTTCCACCAGTGCAAATGATGAATTTTGAGCAAACTCAACATTTTCATAGACCGAGCCTTCATTTGATTTGTGTTGATCGCTTGGGTACCCACCCCCGAATCCGCCAGATCTAATTTCTGTCTTTTGCCTGTCTCGTAGTAATTTGTTTGTCCACCCTCTTACCAATGGCAAACCTCTAGGTACAATTCTTTTGTAAATGACAACCCGATCAACATAGAACATCTGCATTATAAAAAATATTTATTAACAATTATTGTTTCATTAAAAGTAGTGCTACAATAATAAAAAACTTGTTAATATTAGTTTTATCTAATACCATACACCTAATAAGAGTTAAAAACATGTCAATTTTAATATTTATCATTGTCGTTTATTGTTTATATTACATACTTATAAAGTAAGAGACGTACCATCAGAAAAAAAATCGGCCCGTTGAAACTTTTTTTCTTGTTTTTTGCCCAAGTTAAGTGATGGTTAACCAAGCACTCCAACACATAGTCACACCAATTGAGATGTCGGGCTGCACTTGTATTGCTGAAGTGGGACATTATTTGAGGTAAAATATATCCAGTTCCTGATGTCTCTATCAAACATGAGGTGAGAAGAACCAAAAAATGTCGAATGAACCATAAGCCCCCATCCTGATTGGACAACATTTGAGCTGAAACATCAGTGGGAAGAATTTTCTTCTTGTCTTTTACGAATTTCCCACCCCACTCTTCAAGTAATGAGCATTGTTCGTGTTTCCTTTTCTTTTATATAGCACGCTCACCATTTGAAAACCCTAAGACCAATGCTACATCTTTAGATTCAATATGCACACTACATCCATTTTGTAGCTTTATCTCACATGTCTTGGGTTGAAAATTGTCTAGCAACCAGTATCCCAATTTCCTTGGTAATTTGTACACACTTAGATGGAATATACTTCGAAAGCCAATCTCATTAATTGCTCTTTTCTGTGCGGCATTCATTTTCTTGCAGGAACTAACCAACACCTGGGGGCAAGTTCTGCTTTTGAGTTTATCGTAAGCCTGTTGTTCCTCATCATTCTCCGAATAATCACTATCCGACTCATCTCCACTTTCGTCATTATTAAGTTCATATGTTGCACCACCACCCACAGTTTCAACTTCTGTGTCATTGGCTTCATTCATAATTTCTTCAGCTACATATGGTTCACCATGATGCTCGTAGTTCACCATTGAATCACCTTTGCAAAAAGTTAGAAATAACATGTGTTCAAGAATAAATTCATAAAGTTTATTGCTTCATGTAGGGGAAAATCTAGCATAAGTGAATACAAAATATCTCAAATATAATTTTATTCATATTACCAACATTTTAGAGGTAAAAAATATCAATGAAGCAACATTATATTGAATAGATAAACATAAAAACATAAAGTGTTATAATTGAAGCACATCTAATAAATAGCAATATCACAAATATAACTTAGCACGTTCATATATTCAAAATAGCCCATATTTGTTAAATTAAAAGCAACATTTATCAAAAAATCGCAAGTCTATACAATATCGATAAAGTTTAACATTTCTAGATTAAATGTTGACAGTTTGACTACAAGTATTTCGCCAAACAAATAAAAAAAAAAAGAAAAAAAAGGTGGCAACTGAGAAACGTGGGATTCAACCTGCTGAAACCTTTTTATATACATTTTCATAATGATTTTGTTCCCCTTCTAATGTTATATAATGTTTTTGGATGCAGTGAAAGAATTAACTCCCAATATATAAGAACTAATAACATAAAATTGTTGATGCACCTTTGCTAAGGGCGGTCGAGGCTGTTCCTAACCTGGTGATGATTTTGGGTGCAAGGTTTTAGTATTTCTAAAGAATAAAGTTTATCTAAAAAGGTCATATGCAACAACTTGACATAACATTAGCACAATACAGTACAAAAGTAGCATATTCTATATACTAATATCATCAATCTCATAGTGTTCAACAAGCTGAAATTATATTCTATATACAATGCAAAAGTAGCATATTCTACATGCTAATGTTCAACGAGTTGAAAATAATATAATATTATGAAAGGATGCAGATATAAATATCAATATTTATATTTTATTATTTTTATATTGGCCTAAATTTCAAATTTCTAAAACATAAAGTTCATAAAAAATAATAAGTTGCAACATGTTGCCATATAAATAGCACAATAGAATGCAAAAGTAGCATATTCTATATGCTAATGTTCAACGAGTTGAACACAACAAAATATTATGAAAGGACACAGATATAAATATCAATATTTGTATTTTATTATTTTTATATTGGCCTAAATTTCAAATTTCTAAAACATAAAGTTGATAAAAAATAATAAGTTGCAACAAGTTGCCATATAATTAGCACAATAGAATGCAAAAGTAGCATATTCTATATGCTAATGTTCAACGAGTTTAAAATAACAAAATATAATGAAAAGATGCAGATATAAATATCAATATTTGTATTTTATTATTTTTTATATTGGCCTAATTTCAAAAATTTCAAATTTCTAAAACATAAAGTTCATAAAAAATAATAAGTTGCAACAAGTTGCCATATAATTAGCACAATAGAATGCAACACGAAGCATATACTACATACTAACTGCACCACTCTCAAATTGTTAATCAAGCAAAAATTACTTCAAATAGAAATTAAACAAAATATTATGATTTTCTGCACATGTCCTACATATCACCATTAAAGGAAGCACTAACTTATTCTAAAACAGAAGATGAAGTTTAATTTCTAAGCATTCATTAAAAAAAAATTATATATATATATAAAAAAAAAATACTAAGCTTCAGAGAGTAATGGAAAATGTTTGGATTTTCTTAAAGACGTGCTTAGTGAATATCTTATTAACAAACTTAAATTTAATCTCCTCAGAATAAACGCAACAAATTCGAATAAAAGCAGAGGCATAAAAAATAAACTTCGCTAAAATTAAGAAACTAAAATGTGCTCTTTTCCCAAATATGACTGTAAGAAATTTCAATTTTTCTGAGCCAATGCAACTGCTATCACTGAAAATGTATAAANAATGATTCTCCCAAGTCTATTGTTCCTAATTTACCCTCCTGCTATTAGTAAATTGATTTTTGTTATTTTGTTGCTACTATAATAGGTCTAATCCACACCGTCCAAACTACAACAATGAAGGGTTGTTATTGGTTCCTAGTTCTCACACTAAGAAGGGTTCTTATTAGAACCCTTCCCTATATATATATATATAAAGAAAACATGTTCATATTGTATAAACAGAAACAACTAAGTTTTACCATATATATACTCTGTGCAAAATTACATTACATGTTATGTTTGTCCCATTTTTGTTATCTTTTTCCTTATTGGTTTATAGGTTTTTAGCCCCCGATTTAGGTCTTTTGATAGGATTTTCGGTCTTGCAGTCGTTTATTTCGTGTCTTTGCTAATATTTCATTATTTTTGTATATTCGTTGGTTTCCTCTGTTTTTCGGGTATTATTCTTGTTTTTGGAGGTGTGCAGGTTCGGATTTTTGACTAAGTGCTCGAAGTTTACCAAGACGAGCTATCCCGGTTTTACAAAGCACATGCACTATCGAGCCTTCCCAGTTGCCACGCCGCGGCGAGTCTCGCGCTGCGGCACTTCACTCCTTTCATGGCGCGACCACACACGCGGAGCCCTTAACGGGCCTTCAGATAGTTCTTTTCATTCTCCACGCCGCGATGATGCCAGCGCCGTGCCTTCTTCTTCTCTCCGCGCCGCTACGACCTCCAGCGCCGCGCCACGTCCACCTTCCACGCCGTGAGACCCTTAACGGGCGTACATAGAAGTCGAGCTTCTTCAGATGCCACGCCGCGACAAGCCTAGCGCCGCGGCAATTCAACCCCTTCATGCCGTGACCACATGCCGCGAGATCCTTCACGCCGCCACATCAGCACGACGCGCCGTGGCGCTAAACCTTTTAAAAATTCGATGAATGTTTTGCGTTTAAGTAGGATCGAGCAAGGGTTTTCGATTCATTCTGCTTTTCATTTTTCTCTCGTTTTATCAGACGAAAAACTTGTTCCTTTCATCTTTGCTTATTTTGAGATTTTTGGAAGTGACACCCAAGGACTTTGATCGTGAATTTGGATTGTGCTTGAGATTCAACACTTGACTTTTATTTCTCGTAAGTTTTCTTCTCAGTTTGATTATGAGTTTGGTGTATTTACTTTTTACTATGTCTTGTGTTCATCTTGGCATGAGTGGCTATATTCTTAAGCTAGGGATAGGGGGTGATTACTCGTACTCATGTGCTTATCTTGCCTGTGTATTTCGTTCAATCTTTTCGAGTTGATTTAAACCTAGGGTTAGATGCTTGATCACCATTCTGATCTAATTAGTCGACTTGTAGAATCGAGAGGGAAGAAGTCGGTCGATCTAGGCTCGACTAGAGTGGGCTTGTTCGTAATTGTATTGCCTACGTGTTAATTGATTGGTTTAATTTGCCGTCTATATTTTTCTTCTTGTTACGAGAAGTTATTGAGGAATAATCTCTAGATGTGTAGGTTGATTGAATTTAGCCGAACGATTTTCGCTTGGTGTTCGAATTTGATTAGAGTATAATCATCCCCGATTCCCTAGCCTTCATACGTAGAAGAAACTCGTTTTAAGTTTTGTTAATTGTTTATTTGCATTGTTTGAGAATTATTAGTTGATAATTGAAAACCCAAATCATTGAATTAGAGTGTTTAGGAATTTATTTTCTTTTTCGTGTGATTGAATATCCGTACAAATAATCCGACTGACCTTCCTTGAGATACGACCCGGTGTTCGAATCTTTCGATTCTACTCCGGTAAAGATGCGGTGCTTCCCGGAGACTCTGAAGGACCGGCCAAGGCCTGGCTCATGACCCTCACACCGGATTCTCTCACAACTTGGGCAGAAGTTTACACCAAATTCTTCGGGAAGTACTATTCCCATCAGAAGGCCCAAGATATCCGATCTCAAATTGTCTCTTTTGCTCAGCTGCCAAATGAGCCTCTTCATGAGGCCTGGGAACGATTCAAGGACCTCCAACGGCAATGCCCACATCATAACCTCTCACCAGGGCTATTGGCGAATTGCTTCTACGACTCCCTCCACCAGAACTTGTAGTACATGGTGGACAATGCAGCCGGAGGGGACATTGGGGCAAGAACGACGGAGGAGATGATGGTAATATATGAGACGATGTTGCGAACTCATCTCAGAAGAGCGTCCGAGGGAAGAGGTCCACAATAAATGAGATCGGACCAGGAAGCAATGTCATGGCCCAGCAGTTAGCCGAGCTCACGAGCAGATGCGGCTACTGAATGCTAGAAGTTCCTCGCCAAATCAGACTATGGCCGTGAATGTTTGCGGTGCATGTGGAGTGCAAGAACATAGTTCGGAAGTGTGCCCTATGGCTACCGAGCCAAACTATGAGGGGCAAGGTGCTGAGGTAAATGCAGTGCAAGGATATTAGAACCGGCCAGGAAATGACCCATACTCGAACACCTATAATCCCGGGTGGAGGAACCACCCAAGCTTCTCTTGGTCTAATAACCACTATCAGCAGCCACCTCAAACCAACTTTGTCCCTCAGCAGCAGCAACCAAGGGGACAAATGTTACGGCTACCAGCACCAGAAATCGGACTGAGCCCGTCGAACTCAGATGAGAAGCTGGATAAGATCCTCCAATTTTTGGCCGACAACAAGCAACGAACCATGAACAATGTGGCTTCCATTAAGCGCCTCGAGACGCATGTGGGATAGTTGGCCACACGGGTTGGGACTATCGAGACTGAGTGGAACAAGGGAAAGTTGTCGAGTCAGCCCGAGCACGCAAATTCAGTTACAGTGCTTATGCCCGAGCAAGAAGAGAAGGCAGTGGTTAAGGAGCGAAGAGATGAGGCCTCGAGGACACCGCCTATCAAACCAACTTTGCACAAGTCCCCTAACCCATACAGGCTGAGGATTCATTTTCCTAGCCGACTTTTGGAGGAGAAGGACCGCAAGATGATCCGAGACCTTCATCCGATGTTGGCTAAGGCCAATGTCGATTTATCTCCTCCCGACGTGATGAAGAAGATACCAGCTTATGCGAGGTTTTTCAAAGAAGTGGCAGCAAATAAGCAGAAGCTCGAGAGCAGGGAAGAGGTGCTCGTGTGTGAAGCGGCGAGTGTCTTCCAACAGAACTT